ACAACTGAAAAATAATAACCATTTACAAATGGTCAAGTATAAATGAGCATTTTACAATTGAGTTAATAAAATCAGGAAAGTGTAAATAATAAAAATGGTATCTTACATATGGGAGTAGCAACCAGCAAGCTAGATTCTGAAACTCTAAAATTGCCAGGTACAGCCACGGTAGGCAAGCTTCTAGGCTCATTTGGTTTCAAGCTTACTAAAGAAGCTCGAGCAACAGGTTGAGAAGGTGTAGTCAACAGTTGCGTAGAGGTAATTCCAGATACATTCAGCTGTTCCTCATCCATCATGCCATAAGAACCTAAGCCACCAGAATGTAGAGATCTGAGAGAAATCAACTCCTGATCGGACTTGGACGTCGCCAGGTTCTTCACAGATTGGCTTCTTCCTGGAGCAGTGGTTAAGGAATTGGTGGAACCAGACTGTACTAAGCCCTTAGATTTGCTTCCAGTGTCTTGCAGTATGTGTGCACCTTCCCAACTAGGGGAAGATTTTTCAGCTTTTACATTATGAAGGTTTGTAGGACCCAAGCCAAAATGAGATGTGAAAGACGTGCCAAAATTTGAAGAGGAACTATGGCCAGAAAATGAAGGAGCATTTGACCCTTTCTCAAGCTCAAATACCTCATCAACAATGGAGCAAAAACCTAATGGTGGATTAGATCGAAGCGTGGAAATTTCAATGCTGGAGTCAGAGGGACCATGCTCAGAAATCCGGCTACTGTTAACATCACTAAGAATAGTAAGGATCTTTCGACAGTCAAGAAGACTCAAATTGAGTTCGTCTTCACACATATGCATCTGACTAATATCAACATTATTTATTCGAATGACATTATTCATGTTGTCAAAAGGTTGATCTTTCCCTGTGGAATCTGCCTGAGCGTCTATTAATTTGAGAAGCGGTTTGAATTCCTTGTCGAGTTGCATCAGCAAAAAGTAAGAGCTCCCACATTCTGGAAATCCCAAGATTAATGAATTTGAACCATCTGAAATGTTCTTTGGAACCTTCATCGGAATTAAACCGTGTTCAAATACCTGAAGAACAATTGAAGATACCTAATTAATTAATTACCTAATTAATTAATTGACAAAATTAAGTATTCTGTCCAAACACTGTCAGTAGTGGGTTTCTATTATCTACAGTAGTGAAGGGGGTATTCATTCTCCTTCCTGGTCCTTCACAATTTAAAAAATGGAGCAACCACGGGCAGATGCAGTGGGGTGGGGGCAGGGTTGAGCGCTCCCAGCCCATATGGAAAATTAAGAATAAATTGTTCAATTTTGGTACAAATATTTGTGCTAGCCCAGTTCTATTTTAAATCCCAACCCAAGCCCAATGCTCAATTATCCAAATTTTGCTATAGAGACTACAATTATCAAATAATCTTTTGATGACATTCATGAAACACAAACATCTTATTGTCAAATTAAGTATTTTATTTAATGCATGTTTAACTAAATTTACTTGTAATAATTAAGTAAATTTTATAATAGATAATTTGTATTGATCAGATTTAAAAATATATTACTTATTTTAATAGTTAGAGACACTACATGTTTTGCTAAGCTTAAAAGTAATTAATTTTTATTTCTATGTATGTTTTCATATATTACTTATCTATGCTTATAAGAAAAAAATTTATTATTTATTTAAAATAAATAAAAAGAATATTTTATTTATTTATAAATTAATCTATATGTAAGTATATTCTTGAAATTGAGCCAAACATGGACGTTAATTAAATCTAATTTATTTGGATGGTCAGAATTCTTAGTCTATTTTTCTCATTTTGGATGAGATTCCTCACCCAATATGAAATGTAATGATATAGAAGATTGATGTCCACACCAAATAGTATGTTGACACAATAACATATAGCGATGTATTATTGATTGGGTGAGACATCCAATCTTCTTTTATTTCAATGAGTGTCGTACACTATTTGTTTTGAATGTCACAAGTTTAGCCTCCTAAACTCGATCTCTTGTGGCAGGAGTTCATTCAAAAATTTTTAAAAATTTTAGTTCATCCTAACATCATTTTCTAGCTCCGCCTCTAGGAGCACCAAATACATATCAAACTGGCAAAACCATTGATGTGTTCAGTTGAAGTCAACAGAGTTCTTCTAATAGCATTCACATTTATCTCTATTAATTAGCACCATATCAATGCAGGAATCATAAGCAAATAAATTAGGCAAGTCAACAGAGTTCTTCTAATAGCATTCACATTTATCTCTATTAATTAGCACCATATCAATGCAGGAATCATAAGCGAATAAATTAGGCACCTCGAGGAGATTGTCAACTGAAATCACACACAAGATTTTAAACAACTAAAGTACAAAACTTCAACATTTTCAGTAAGTCATTCAAGTTCCAGACTGCACTTCTAACTCAATAAATAAAAGTAAAGTGGAGTGCAAAACATACCTCGAGGCCTAGGAACCTGCCAATGCAAGCAAACAGGTGCAAAATAGCACTGCTCCTCAAGTTAATGAAAGTTTTTGTTGCAGGCATACTTCCCTGGTTCAAAGCTTCTTCACACTCTAGCAGCACTGATGATGATACAATATTTTTGGACGAGTGGAGGAGGAAGCGACCATCCCTGCAAGACACAGGAAGAAACTGAGGCTTTAATTTAGGAAACAGAAACCCCTTTACGGCCAAACAAATTCACGAAGGTGACAGCAGTTATTTGACCAATCAAGTTACCATTTGCTTAATATATATTTTGTACTTTAATTGAACCTAAGGAACCATCGTTGTCTTGTGTGTAGATCTATATGGTTTACTATGTATTTTGTACCTTAATTGGACCCAAGGCACCAGGTTGTCTTGCATGTAGATTATGTGGTTCATTACGGCATAACAGTCTTGCTCTAACCAAGGTCTTGACTAAGACCATAGCCGTTCATTGTGCATTCATGCAAACATGTCTGTGTTAAACATTAGAATTTATCGACTGGTTCGGTAAGGAGAATGTCATTTATAAGAAAGATTATAGCTTAGAAATTCTTGACCAAGCCAGGAGGAAATTACGAAGAGTTCTGATTTCTATTAAAACACATCATTTTGATGGGTAATATCATTGGATTGCAAGACTTGATATATAAATATGATCTTCATCCGATGAGGATACTATGAGATCAAATACACGGTACCCTATGGCATCATGGATCGTGAAATTTTTGATTCTTCACTATTTGCTGGTCAAAGTCTACATTTTATACATGTACTGTGTCAATAAGTTTCATCCAACGCAGTAATTTATAATGAAAGGATCAGATTTACATGGACAAACCACACTCTAGCTGTCACAGTGCCCAAGGATCTTAAGCAACGCAAAGGAATAATTGGAAATTATTCTCAGAAAAGGGCATGGGAAAATATTTCTTCATGATGCCAACAACTAGAACAATAAATTAAGTTGAAAAGCCAGCAAAGAAATGTCTCACAAACAGCTAGAAGATTGATGTAATATCTCCTTGGTCCTTGCAAGCTAGAAGATTATAATAGTATCTCCCAATACCTAGAATATCGAAGATGTCAACTTCTCTTTCTCCTAAATTGGAAACAATCTTCTCCATACCATTTTTCTCAGTTGCTTACCTCAATTATTTCGACAGACAAACTTCGAGGGTCCACATATCAATGGAATCTTCATGGCTCCTTTATCATATTTCTGATCTTCTTTCTTGATTTCCATCTTAAAAATTGAACTAAGGGATGCCGAAAGGAATTCAGACACCCAAAGTCGGAGTGTTATGACATCTCAAGTGGGTCTCATGTCTAACCTCAGTTCCAGGAGTTTCATTCACATGAAGTAGATTTTGAAAGTCAAAGTTCAATATTCTTTCCAAAAGAGTTCAGAAAGTAGGATTCCTTATAGATTGGGATTTTCCAAACTTGGAGGCATCCAAGGCTAGGGTAAGACAAGAAAAGAATTTTAGTTAAGGAATAAATTAGACGTGGTTCTTTCTTGGAGTAGACCCTCTCTGTACACACGCACCCCATATATTGTAAGGTGAGGATGAAATTAGGGAGATGGTGTTCAACATGAATGACGATAAAGCACCAGGACCGAACGGATTCTCTCTCATTTTATAAGGCTTGTTGGGAAGTGGTGCAACCAGACATTGTGGATGTATTTACTTATTTCTTTCAGTGTGGCACATTCTTGAGAAGTTCTAATACTACATTTATTGTGCCGATTCCGAAAAAACCGGGAACGTCGGATATTAAAGACCTTTGTCCCATCAGCTTAATAAGTGGAGTGCATGAGATTATTGCAAAAGTGCTGGCAAATAGATTAAAGGAGGCGTTAGGGAAAGTAGTGTCTAAATTTCAGAATGCGTTTGTCAAAGAGCGATAGATATTGGATTTCGTACTTATCGCAAATGAATGTATTGAATCGAGATTGCGTATGGGGGTTCCATGGATGTTATGTAAGCTTGATATTCAGTAAGCATATAATCATGTGAACTGGGGATTCCTTTTGTATATTCTCAGGCGATGTTGTTTCGGGGACAAGTGGTGCCGATGGATTCAGATTTGTATCTCTATGGTCTCCTCTCAATTTTGGTGAACAACACTTCTGAGGGTCATTTCCGACGTAACAGAGGTTTTAGGCAAAGGGATCCTTTTTTTTTTATCGTTAGGCAAAGGAATCCTTTGTCTCCATTACTGTTCATTATTGTTATAGAGGCTTTCAATAGGATGCTTACGAAAGCTGTGGGGAAGAATTTGTTGAGGGGCTTTATAATTGACCAATTTCAGGTATTCTATTTCCTATTTGCAGGTGACACATTGATCTTCTATGATGCAGATGTTGAACAATTCAAGAACTTGCGTCGTTTATTTTTGTGCTTTGAATCTATATTCGGACTAAAGATAAATTTGGGAAAACCTGAGACTATCACAGTGGGAGATGCCGATAATGTGGAGGTGTTGGCGGACATATTGCCGTTAATATCTAGCCAAAGATTTTTATTGACTCTTCACCCCACTGAAAGGAAGCATGGTCAGATATTAGAACCTAGGATTGAAAGCCAACCAAGCTATTGGAATTTCAACTAGAGGTTGCTCGACAAAAGTTCATTTGAGATATTTTATAGCTAAGAAGCCAAGCCTTGACAAATTATAGCTCATTAATTTATCAAGCTCAGCTGTGCAAGCTAAGTTAATAAGATAATGCATGGAAAGATGCCAAATCTACTCTAGCTTGACTCAGTGTCAACTTGATTAAAAGTCAATTGAGATTAATTCCCTTAAAACATCAATCCAAGCTTGAACTCAATTTCAAAACTCATTAAACAATCAAGTCCAACTCATCAGCTCGGCTCTAGTGGCTTCACACTCCCTGTCAGACCTACATGTCTAAATCCAAATGTGACAAATCATCTGCACACAAACACTTGTTGACGCAAAAATGAGCTCATCAGGGTCGTCTAAGCAAACCAACTATCATATAGCTGAACATAAAATTATTGTCAACAAACAAATAGCAGTTTACAGATGCATATGATTGAACAATTCCCCAATCATTTGATAGTAACGTAAAGAGCTACTAGCAGACAAAACAGAAAATGTATAAACCTTATGTTTATTCCAAGGGTGAAAAATGATGAAACATAGGCTCGTACGCACAGAATTTCCTGGCCCTCGTACTCCTGGGAACTGAATATGTTAACCTTCTGTTAAAAGAAAATTAAAATCACATTCCAGAAACTGAAACGATAAAAATATGCCCTCACACCCAAAAATTAATCAGATTGCAAAGAAAGAAAATAAGATGCCATCAAATTAGTAAAATTTAGCAATCATTTGCAAATCAATATTCAAAATTGACTGATCATTTGAGTCAAAAGAAGAGCATGATAAATGTACTCCCATTATTATTATAATTAAATGCTATGATATATTGTATCAGAAACAATTAAATATCATTTTGGCTAGCCTCTTTGCAAAATGAACAATCTAATACACCATTTGATTCAAAAGAAGAGCATGATAAATGTGCTCCCATTATTATTATAATTAAATGCTATGATATATTGTATCAGAAACAATTAAATATCATTTTGGCTAGCCTCTTTGCAAAATGAACAATCTAATACACTCATATTTCCATAGATACTCATAATTCCATAGATACTCAAGAGCAAGAAAAAATGAAGGAAGAGCTCATATTACTAAAGTCATCAAACAGCAACGTTCCATTACAGCTTCATAAAATTTAAAGGAATGCGGATTGGCCTTTCTTTTTTCATTAGAAATTATCTTATATTATGAGAGTATAGCATGAGACCTTACTAGGAAAAGGAAGAAGGAAAAAATAACAATTTTGCGAGTTAGGAGCAAGGCATTGTATGCCAAGGGTTCAACTAATAAATTGTGAAGCGGATCCAGGTTTTGAGTGATACAAAACAAGTGTTAAGGAAACCCACTACATTACGATTTACAGCTAAAAAAAAAAAAAACTCAGAGAGGTTTTTCTATAATCCCTTTTCAGGAGAGTGAAGCTATTAGAACTACACGATCGTCAGACTTTAGATACAAATAAGATATCTGAAGGTCCATAAAAAATTTTGGGTTTTCTAATACCAGCTTTCTATTATTATCAGTATTTCAAACCAACTCCCCACTTCTTGTTAGAAACCCTCTTTACTAAACAATATACAGATGATTCCCCAAAAATGGCATGCCCATTATCATACAAAAATAAATTATTAGCAAAGAGAGAACATGAGATCTACGTTCTTATACATCTCGAACAGTTATACTTAAAATGCATGTTTAGCATCTTATTCATCCATTCAGCTAATGAAAGTGACCCCCAGCCCCATAAAAGAAAATTTGTATCTCACTTTCTTATAGAAACCTGAGCCAAAAAGAAAAGGAAAAGAAGAAAACAATCTCAAAATTAAAATTAAGGATGCTTTGGGAATTCCACATAATGTAGACTCAACTAATCCATAGCATGTCTATGATTTGTACAGTAGAACCTCCACAGAATGACAATAGACCTAGGATCAAAACCAATGATTCCACCTCAGGTACAACATCTTGGACCAAAGGCAAGCATCCATGATGGTTTACCATGTTCTGGGAGTTCTCAATTTTATTTAATATGGAATTTTGATTAGTTTTTAAGCGATATTTTAGAGATTTCTGAACTTGTACAGTGGATTAAAGTTGTGACTATGATCTCATGTAAGCCAGTTGAGGTTAAGGTTATCTATTGGACAATAGGATCTAATGGAGTCTATTCAAAGCCATGTATTGAAGCTTGGGCTCCAATTTTGACAGGTTTGCAAGGTTCAGTCTAACCCACCTATTCTTACCCTTGTATTTATTTGTACCAAGTAGAAAGTCTACTGAAATATAATTTTTTGTGTTACCAGCTTGAGAACAGTTGAATTTCTGCTAGTCTTCTGCTTCGTCCAATTTAGTATGTACTATATATCTCTGCAATCCAAGAAGCTTGTCCTTTCCATTTTCGAATTCTTGCCAAACCCTCATTGGTGAGCTCCTAATATTTCTTCCAGCTGTTGCCCATAGTCTAAAGCTCTCTTTCCAATTGTTGGCTACGTCTATAGAAAATAAATATACATAGTTGCAAAGTGATATTTAGATGATAACCATACTCGATCCTTTTTCTACCACAGAGAAGAATATTATCCTTAAACTGATCTTAAATCACTTTGTGAATATACTCATCAGAAAATTGATAGGTTATGAGACATTTGGACAGTTCTTCCACAGTTATGCTAGACATATTCTCATCTTTTTCTTCTTAGTAGCTTTGACAACTCCATTCAAACATGTCTAGTAACAATAATGAACTCAAAATGTAGCTAGTCAGTTAATATGTATTTTATGTGCCATATCCACATAAATGCATAGTTTATATAACAGTTTATTTATCAGAAAACAGAAACGAAAATTTCATTACAAATCTAACCTTTTCGCTGTCAGCATCACATTCACCTGTACATAACTGAAGTTGGACATCTCCAGGAGCTCGACATAGCTGGTCATTCTTCTCCAGTTCCTTACAAATCTCAAGCAGACGAGTATATTTATTACAGCAAATAGCTCTAAGCAACAACATTTCCACATCAATGCAACTTTGGTTAAGGGAAAATTCAGCCTCCGTGCCAGTCAGAGGATCAATCACGAACGTGCTATGAAGGCACTTTATCTGCAAATCTGGTCCAGGTTCAATTTTCATGAATGGGCATGTTCTTGTGCCAGATGCACCCGAGTTTTTATCAAAATCCAACCAGTATATAACTTTTAATCCAGGAGTTCGTAAACCAACTGACTCGGTTTCTCCGTCCTGAGTGCTCTGGGTCAAGGTAGCATTTCCTCCCTGTCTGCTACTCCCATCAGATATCAGCTCAAACCGAATTGCATCTTTCCATCTGCCTTGCCTAAGTGATTGCACTTGTCTTATAACAGTGTCCATAATGAGGGCAACACAAAGCTCATGAAGAATGGAATATAATGTCATGAATGGGTTTTCTGAAGCAGCCATTCTGCGTTCCAAATCATCTCCAAGAGCACGCCGTCGTGACTCTTCGAGCTTTACCAGCCCACTTTTCTCACCAACAAGCAGCTCCAAATGCAATATCCTCCACATTGACAAATGTCCTCGGTAACCAAGGGTAACGAGAACCTTAAATTCACCATCAACACGTAGCAAGGCAACACCATCAGAAACCTTGACTTCAGTAATTTCTTTCGGAAGTGAAATATCAAGTAACTTAGACCTGACAAGAGCATCTAGTTTCCTCAGAGCTGGACTTTGCTGATCTGCATTCAATGTGCCCTGTGTACCAACATCCTCCATACATTTAGGCAAACGATGGTAAGTTCCAGTAAGAAGAACCTCAATCGCAGATGGAACATCATAGATGGGCGCACGAGCTTGTTGTAACCCCTCATGCATGAAAAACATTGAATCTGCAGCTTGGGTGAAGCATGTATCGTGACTAGCTAGAGTAGACGCAAGTTGCTGACAGTATTGTATCAAAGGAACCTGCAAGTCAAGAAGCAACGATTTGCAAAGAAATAGTAGTTGAGAATTGATATTTCCACTTGCACCTATAGAAGGAACTGGAGATAGTTTTTCTTCATCTACGGAAATATATAACATTTATGCATATCCTGAATGAGTATGACAAGAAAACACCAACAATAATGCACTTGTAATATATATAGAGCCAAGAGTATATTTATGACCAGAAGTGTAAGTATAGCTATTTAAATTGACAGTAAAAATGAGGAAATAAAAATAGAATTTGCAATAAAAACCTTTTTTCTCTCTAGGGAAGGTCTTAAAAGGATGTTAGACATGAGAAATGATACTTGAAAAGAAAGAATACAAAGAACATACGTATTCCACAATAATTATCTGCCAATGAAGTTTGAATAAGGATAGGATTCATGTGAAAATACTGTAGGATACATGTATATATACTAAATGCGTTAGAAAGCATGCCCATACTATTAGCGTACTTTGCAATCTTTGATTATAATGAATCCGAAGATAGAGATTGAATTTACTTCATTTTAGAGGTGTTGTCCTTCTCTTAAAAACTTGGTCTCTTCCCTAAATTGTATCCCTCGTTACATCCCTTTGGGTGATGATAACTATATCACTCAAGTGTTCTTACTTAGGTGGTGAACTATTTTACTTTTCTTTAAATTATTTTCATTCATCCTCCTCCAAACCAGTATCAAACCAAGTTATCGTAGTTGGATGTTCTCATGGTCAAAATGTTGATGAACCTCGTGCTTGCGAAAGAGAATTTTGCAACGTCTTGAGATTGAAAAGTTCGGGAGATGATTGCAACAACTCCAACAATGTTGGGAAACAGTTCAAACCATTTCAACTCATTAACTCCAGCAATAAATAGGAGATCAAACATGCAAGCAAGGAAGGCAACATTTCATACAAAACTATTAGATTTAATACTTGAAAAGATTCCACGAGGCTGCAAAGCCTTCCACCAACAACTCATTCAGCATTGGATGTATTTTTATATTAGAAGCATCTTTTACAAACATCCAAACAAGTCATCCTGTAGGATAAGCTCAAAGCGTAAGGACATTCAACAAGAGGTAATGACATCATTTGCTAAATGTGTAAAAACGACACCACGTTAAGGCCTTGTTTGAGCCACATTATTTGAAAAAAAAATACATTTTTCAATAGTGGTTTGACATTATTTCAACCACACATTTTTAATAAAATAATATTACACGCAAATCCAAAACATTTCCTTATTTTTTAACCACACATTTTTTTTCTTTTTTTATAGGTAATCAGAGAATTGTATTCCTTAAAAGAGAGTACACGAGAGGTGTACAATCACTTTAAGCATGAAAGGAACAACAAGAAATTAGGCAATCCTACAACAGGATTTTTAGCCACTGCATTAAACCAAGAATACAAAGTCAAGTAGAATAATTCTCTTATCTGCTCTATTGTCTTTGTTTGGTCTTTGAAACATCGATCGATCTGTTCTCTCCATATGCACCATATAATACATCCCGGGATAAGATTCCATAGAAGTTTGCTATTCTTATAGCAAAGTTTTCTTCTCCATGCCCATACCAAGTCTTCTATACGCCTAGGAAGCACCCAATCTATGATTGAGAAGCCAGAATACTGTTCCAAAGCCAACGGACACCATCACAATGAATGAATAAATGATCAATCGTCTTTCCATCCTTCTTGCACATATAGCACCACTCGGTTACATAAAATCCTTTTCGTCAAAGATTATCCACCATTGACACCTGCCTTCCATGCCCATACCAAGTCTTCTATACGCCTAGGAAGCACCCAATCTATGATTGAGAAGCCAGAATACTGTTCCAAAGCCAACGCACACCATCACAATGAATGAATAAATGATCAATCGTCTTTCCATCCTTCTTGCACATATAGCACCACTCGGTTACATAAAATCCTTTTCGTCAAAGATTATCCACCATTGACACCTGCCCCCTCATAACTGTCCACAATAGAAATGCTACCCGTGGAGGCAATTTACTTTGCCACACCATCTTCCAAGGTAATGAGATCTCCACAAGTCCCAAAAGGGATTGAAAGTATGAACGGACTGAAAAAATACCATCTCGAGCTAACCTCCACCTGCTACAATCACCCTCTCCTACCCGAATTTGTATCTCATGCAGAGCGGTTAAAAACTCCCAATCTTGTAAACCCCTCCCAAAAGTAATATTCCAACTATAGCCCCCATTATGGATGTCAAGTACATCACCTACCATAGCAACAGGCTCCAACGCAATGCGGTACAATGAGGGAAATCCCTCCTTTAACGGTTGATCGCCACACCAACTATCATCCCAAAATCTAATATCAGTGCCATTTCCCACCACAAAATTTAGTTTGTCCTTAAAATCACTCCATCCTCGTCGGATATACCTCCACAAACTCACCCCATAGGAGCCACAACCCTCAACCGCACACCAACCCCCCTCCATCACACCATACTTTGCCCCAATGATTTCTCTCCAAAAGCTCTCCCTCTCCACTCTAAATCGCCACAACCACTTGCCCAATAAAGCCTTATTAAACAAAACAAGGCTCCTCACTCCAAGCCCCCCCATCCTCATAGGCAAACAAATAGTACCCCAATTAACCAAATGCATTTTCCTCTCCTCCCCTAACCCTGCCCACAAGAATTCTCTTTGAAATCTCTCTAATCTATTTACCACTGCAACCAGAATAGGAAACAATGACAAAAAGTAAGTGGGGAGATTTGAGAGAGTGGATTTAATAAGGGTAAGTCGGCCTCCCTTAGAAAGATACATACGCTTCCACCCTGCTAACCTCCTCTCCATTCTTTTCATAATACCATTCCAGATATGTGTACTTTTAAACCGTGCCCCTAGCGGGAGCCCTAAATATGACATGGGCAATTGTGCAACCCTACATCCCAATAT